AATTCTTAAAATATATTATTATATTTTTATACTATATTACCACACACAGGCCATGGTACAGCGGTATCTACGGTTAAGACTATAATACGATTGCAACAATAGGACGATCGTATAAGGCCTATATCGTCAGTCCCCGGTCCGACAAATTCGTAATTTTTCACGACTTCATTATTTATCGTGCACAATATATAATGTTATATTATTAAATGTCTTCTCGTACCGAAGTGCAGCACCGCGAGTACATAAGTCGCTGCAGCATTGTTTGCATTGCATATTATACGTAGTGCACGCTCATACTATATATATGTTACGGGCAAAGTATACAATTTGGTCATTTTATAAAATGGCCGGGCATATTATATAATGCCCGGCCATTATGTAAAATGACCTTCATATATTGGGCAATATAGATAATACTATGTAATATTGTAAAGTATAAAGCATTTTATTCATTATATTTTAACTTTATAAACATGATAAATATTAACTAGGAGGTACCTATACTAATATTATATTTTATTACTATTTAATTATATTTCATTACTTATTAGTAGTAATTATTTATTACCATTGAGTAATGATAATATTTATACTCAATATTATCAATGTATTACTTATTATCGCATGTACTACTCACGTGGCATTTGGATGTGAATAGTCTCTCCACAGCTTTGCACTTGCACTTCCGTGTTTAACATTTTTGTACACACGTACATCGGTCGTAGCCCTGACCACCCAAATTAGAAAATGTCCGTGCTGTCTCTCGGAGTGAAATCTTGGTTTGTGGCACATCATCGACTTTCGGAAATCTTTCCTTGCAAATTACAAATTGGTTTCTACTATACAAAGTTGAAAGGCGACCTTCCTTAGTCCCGATTTCGTACATGTCATTGTTAACTGTAAAACAAATTTTATTAGTTTATCTGGAATATTAATAATAAAAGTATAGTATTTATAGGTACTCGAAAGAATAACTCCAATAATATTTTTATTTTTTATTCAGATACAGGTACAATTAACTTGTTAACATTAGCAACGTTTAACACGTTGTATTTTTTTAAAAGGTTATAATCATTCAATTCCTTTTTTTTTTAATTATTCTTTAGTTGAGTTATATGCGAAATTAGTTGATCATATTTAAGCTTTTAAGCTTTTTCAAAAATGAAGTATTTGAACCTTTTTTTTCTAACAAATCATTTAAATCTACATTAAACTTTTCCATATTCAAAATATAACTGCACTATACAAGCGATTCGCGGTTACTAAATAGTTAATTTTACGAGAATTAACCGATATAGGTAAAATGTCATATCTATCTATTATGGCATTCTATGATAAACACTACAATCAAATAATATGTGACTGCCCGATAAGTCGACAAGAACAAACCAAAATACCAAATCTACAGATAATAATCCAACATTGGTATTTTGACTATACTTTAAAATTAAATAGTAATAAAATATAATATTACTTATTAGTTATTAGTATAGGTACCTCCTAGTTAATATTTATCATGTTTATAAAGTTAAAATATAATGAATAAAATGCTTTATACTTTACAATTACATAGTATTATCTACAGGGTGTTTCTGAAATGAATGAGGAAACTAGTATATGCGTACTCAGTGTGATGACCCAATGATGATTTTTTTGAAAATTTTTTTCTACCTTCAAAATCTGGGTTTTTTCAATTTATTTTTAGAACATTATCTTAAATGTAAAAATAAATACTCAAGTTGTATTTTTTGTAAAAATCTCATACGAATCGAGGTGTCACATCATTTTTGAGCTTGTCGCGCGTTTTTCACGCTCGAACCGCCGATTAAAAAAAAATGGTGTGGCACATCGATTTGTATGAGAAAACTACAAGATAAACAGTGGTGATAGTTATTTGTTGAAATTTAACATACACGATTAATTAACACATTGTTTTACATTGTCAACTAATAAAAATGATAAATAATAACATAATTAGGGTTAACAGAGTCTTAAATGATCGAATTTATGTGTTAATTAATAAACCGCGACAGAGACTGATTGGTGGTCGGTGTTGACCGCCATGACCAAACTGTCCCTGTCGGTTGTCTCGGTACTCGCCTGATGCTTTGCGTATACAGAATGACCTATAATGCCGGGGTGTGCGAAGTTGGTGTGCTTGCGCCCCCGTCACCTTTGCAGGTGAACACCCGTGGCTCTGTTACCATTGTCCCTACACCTACGGCTGCCCCATAAGCCGTTGATGTTGACCACCGGTGAGGTGAGTGTGGTGGGTGGTGGGGTGGTGTAGGTTTGGGATTTAAGAGTGGGTGCCGATAGGTGGTGTGGTGACGGAAAAATTCGTAGTTGGTTTTTCGTCGTTACGAATTACCGAACTACGTGCGTGATGATGGCTTAATTTTTCTTCGTCCGTACTTCCGAAAATATGTGATGATGGGTGACGAGAGGTGGGTGGAAATATTATCTGACACGAAGTCAAAAACGCCTGCTATGCGTCGAAGGGCCGCTATAATTATTGTAATATAATTACAAAAAAAAAATTTATAATTTTATAAATTAAACATACAATATTAAATTTTTTTTTATATTGTAACAATATATTAAAAATCAAATACCTACGAAGGTATTATTTTTAATACCTTAAACTATTGCAATTCATAGTATTTATTTTGGTATTTACACTATTTTCCCTCAAATTGATGCTATTGTATTATTTAGAAATCCGTGGTATTGGTGTTTTAGTGTTTATATTTTATATTTTATGGTAATATTCAGTTAGTTGATTGATAACATTGATAACCTTATTTTATCATTATTTATATGTATTTTGATTTTAAACTATTTACATGAACGAGTTACTGAGTCAGTTACGGTACATACAAAAGTGTGTTTAGTGTAAAAATTCAATTGAACTATGCAATTTAAATTATGTGTGACGCTGGGGAAAATCGAAAGAAGGGTGGGGCTGAAAAGATACGAGAAAAAAAGAAAAAACTCTTAATGGAACCTCTTTACGTAGGAACCTTATTTTAAATTTTCAATCCTTAGCTATAAAAGTTGAAAAAAATGAAAAAAAGAAATTCATTACATGAGAAATCGAGTGAATATCAAATGTTGTAAAAATATGAATTTCAAACGATCATAAAATTTTAATTTGACTTTCTTGTTGACAATTTTTTTTTTGATAAAGGTAAACAAAAGGTATTAAAAATGTGTTATAAAATTTTTTTATGAATTTCTAACTCAAAATTATTTGCAAAACTTCGTCATTTTTACGTATTTTGTCAATATTTGTACGTTAAATGCTTATAAAAAAAATACTTTGGATTTTAAATTTTTTCATTTGCCTTTGAAACAATATACTAGGAGCCTTCTATTACATTTTTAATCTTTTTAACCAACAAATACAATTTTATTGATATTTATAGAGAAAAAACTAAAAATATGGGAACTGAAAATGTCAGTAAACAACTCAAAGTAAGTCAAAATGTTATGATGTATAGAAAATATTAATATAAACATTCAGTTAAAATTTGGTGTACCTAAGGTAATAGAGTTGCACCAAAAACCAAAATCGATTTTCTCAAAAACAGATTTTGCAGGAAAATTCCCGTTTTTCCTTAATTTTTCTTTTACTTTTCACGGCGCTTTTGAAAACTAATGGGAAATTTTTATTTTTGACCCCCCACCAAAGTATCAACTAGATCAACTTTTCTTTCAGAAAAAAGAACATAGACGAAGAAAATCTAAGTATTTACAATTTTTACTGTCCTTAAATGTGATGACAGACACAAAAATAAAAAAATAAATTAAAATAAAAAAAGTAAAAAAAAACACACATCATTGTAAAGTACTAAAATCAATACATTCATCGCTTCACTCAGAATCTAAAATGTAATAAGATTAAACTTCAAGTTCAAGTTAGAACAGTCTGAACAGGTTAACCTTATCTGACTAATCCAAAACTGTTATAGCTTTATTTATGTGTAAATATATTATATATTTTACTAATTTATGATTGAAACTAAAAAAATTTTGAAATTTGTTTAAAATGATTTGATTTTATATGATACACTGGCTATGTTATTGTTACTATGTGGCTATATAATAATACTAGGTACTTACCTATTTGTTGTAAACTGGGTATTATTGTGAAAAGTATCAATTATCTAAAGTTATAGTTGGTTCAAATCCATTGAATCAGCTTGTATTTAATAATGAATACATTTCTTTACTTGCTATAAAAAGAAGGAATCCAATAATATGTACAGGACCCTGTGATAATCATACACTATCAATGAGTGATTTAACAAACTATTATGTATTTAATTAATTTTAATATTTGTAATCGTAGGTATATGAATGTGTTATTAAATGGGTAAAACATGATTTAGATCAAAGAAAAGATTTTTTACCACAATTAATGGAACATGTACGTTTGCCATTATTAAGGCCTGATATTTTAAGTAAAGTAGTTGAAGAACCTCTTCTAAATAATAGTCCTATATGTATGTTATTTTCATAAATATGCCATCATTATCAATATGTTATATATTTTATTAATTATTATTATAATGTTTTAAGGTAAGAATTATATAACTGAAACATTACGTTTTAATCTAAAAAAATCAGTTCAAAAATTCAGTATACCTAAAACAATAAGATGTAAATCTAGACAGTTTGGTGGTTCTCCAAAAGTATGATTCTGTTTTGATTGATATATCTTCACAATTACATTGTCATTTTAATTATATCAGGTTATTTTAATGTTCAACCGGTCTGATACATGGCCAAAGTGTACTACGGAATGGTACGACCCTGCAACCAAACTACGAAAGAATGGACCAGGATTTATTTTTTCTTCTCGAGACACAGGTGGTTTTGGCGTGATAAGTGATCAATTTGTGTTTGCTGTAGGAGGTTTAAATCTACCAAGTTCTAAATCTGTTAGAATGCTTGATGTATCTTCACAATCACCTTCTTGGGTTCCAATGGTCGACATGTTAGTTAGTCGAAATCTATTAGGAGTCGGAGTATTAGGTGATTCCATATATGCTGTAAGTTACATCAATATATTACTTATTTTATATCATAAATTTATATTATTTTGCAATTCTAGGTTGGTGGATGTGACGGCCCCACTGCATTAAATAGTGTAGAGGTATTTGATGCGAGTATTCAACAATGGCGAATGGTGTCTAGTATTACAAATGCAAGAATGAATTTCGGTGTTGGTGTACTCAATAATAAATTATATGTGGTGAATAATTATATTAGTTATTTATTTTTAATTTGTAATACATTTAATTTAATTTAATTGTTTAGGTTGGAGGTGCTGATAAAGAAAACAGTCTGAAATCTGTGGAATGTTATGATCCCACACTTGACACATGGACATCAGTGGTGGAAATGTCTGTATGCCGTTGTGGTGTTGGTGTAGGAGTTTTGGACGGTCTTATGTATGCTATTGGTGGTTTTAATGTAGAGTATCTTAAAAGTGTTGAGGTGTACATACCAAGTGATGGAGTATGGTCTTCTATTGCCGATATGAATTTGTGCCGATTGAGGCCTGGTAAGTATAACGATTATATTATTTAGGATTAACTTTAAAAATTGTATTGAATTTAAATTACATTTTTAATAGGAGTCGTCACATTAGATGGTTTATTGTATGTTATGGGCGGAGAAACTGACAAATCTATTATTGATACTGTAGAAATTTACAACCCAATCACTAATACTTGGACCATGGAGAAGTTATCAAGAACTAGAGTACAAATTTATGGTGGAGTAGTCATTGATAGACCACCACATTTTAAAACTAATTAGCATACAGAAAACAGATAAATAATGGTTTCTTTGTGGTTAGTTTTAAATTATTATATACACAATAATGTATAAATTATTATGAATTGTGCATTGTTCTATACTTTTTCGTGTTTGCAAATGTTTGTTAAACATGTTTTTATTTTATTTAAATTGTTTACCTAATGACAAATTTATATCAAGTTGGTAAGACGGTGACTGTGTAGATGGTGATGAAACAGTTCATAGTTATTAGTTGTCGATACCCGAATACAGTTGATGCGAATAACCAGAGGTTACTTAGTCCTTGTGCGACGTGCTTATGTGCGTCCCCATCATAGACCTATAAACTAATAATGGACAGCGCTTAGAGAGGACACGGTATAGAGTGAGTGAGAAAAGAATGAACATAGTAAAATGTATACTGTTCTTTGTGCTGTCGCCTGTCTCCTTCACTTTTTTTATGTTCTCTCTCTCAATGGTTATAATATGGCCTAGCATTGATGGTTGGGTGAAGTGGTATGTGCTGTCCATTACTCATTAGTATGTAGGTCTATGCTCTCCTCAATATAAAATCCTTTATACGAAAAAATAATAAACAATTCTTAGCGAAGAGTGAAGACGATCCTTTATACCTTTATTACTAAGTACCTATATTTTATGATATTATTGCTATTAAAGTAATTTATTTTACTTAGTATAATAAAGTAGGTTGAATTCATTTTAGGCATTTTAAATTGTCATTATTTGTATACAATATAATAATATACATTAAGAGGACGCAAATTTTACATTCTGATTTTGAATATGCCAGCTTCCTAATAATAATTTGTTTACATGAAGATAAAACAAAAATTAAAAGTAGATACATCTATTATGACGCCGCACCAAAAGCATAGTTTGTGGTGGGGGGGGCAGAGTTCAAACACAATACTATTTAACATAACAATGCAATATTTATTTACCACGGCTTTAGTTTCTATCTAAAGCCGTGCTATTTACTAATATAGATTGAACAAATGAAAAAATTATAATTTTAAGTTTTCGGATTCCGAATGGAGCGGCGATGAATGTATTGATTTTACAATGATGTATGATTTTTTTTGTGTGTCGGTTGGTGCATTCGGGAGGTTATTTTAAAAATCGCAATAGTTTTCAAAAGTGTCGGCAAAACAACACAAAAATTAAGGAAAAACGGGAATTTTTACGCAAAATTATTTTTTGGCGAAATCGATTTTGGGTTTTGGCGGATCTCTAAAACAAATGACTGTAAAGTGTAAATACATGATATTTTCACTAAACATTTATATTAGGATATGCTATACACAGTGTTGAGCAGTATCTAGATAGGACTACAGCATCTTTATCTCAACTACTTAAACGTGAGGGAAAAATAACATTATAATCGGAGGAAAATTTGTCTTAATATTTCATCAGATAAATTATTACGAATAAAAAGAGACAAAGAATTTGTATAACAATAGCATAAGATAATAACACAACGCTAGATGAGTAAATCGTTTTCTCATAATAACCGTCTTAAGTGACTGTCATACAGTCCAGCAAAATAAATTTAAGGTACACTCATATCAATTATCTAATAGAATAATACCATTCAAATTATTGAGTATTAATAAACTTACTTTTTAATAACTGAAACGAACCATACATGGCTGCAGAAATCCAAATATTATAACCATTGTTACACGAATTTGCATACAAGATAATAAAGTTTAGCAGCTATAACATTGCAGTTTACCTATATTATATAGGCTTTTAAAAATGGAAATTTAAAATTTATAACCCAAAATTACGTGGCACACCGAGATCTGTGAAAACATAATACAATATGAATCGTATGTTAAACATTGAATAACAATATTATGAGGTCCTACCTCGAGTGAGTGGAAAAAAAACATTAAAATAACATTATTGAAACCTCGTCAGAAATTGATCGCACACGAAAATCTAAATTTACTCACGAAAAACCACCACATCGACTCCGGCAAAGTGTCGAACAGTAAAGTCAACAATGTATTTTCATCGACGGTGGCTTATAATATTCAAAACGTATCCCGTGGATGCTATTTAACATTTTCCGAGTATCGCAAATTGCGTATACGATTTTCAACCGATTATGATGATAAACACAAACATATAATAATGCATCCGGGATTTCGGGTCAGGTAGGTTTGAACTCGAGTTAAGAAATAGAACCCATAACCAGGTATAATAATATCATACCGCTAGCGTCTGTTAATTGATATTTTTTGAATTATCGTTTTCACACGAAACCAATTTATTATAAAATATACACACTATATTATAATAGGTACCTATACCTGCCTATATTATGTACTTAACGACGATAGTCTGTCGTGTAGACGTTTTACGTTGAAAAATGACATCGGCCAGAAATGGCTTTACACGTATCCGGATCGGCCAATTTGTTTTTATTCATACTCAAACTCAACCATAGGTTATATACTTATATTACACCTGCACAATAGCGCCGCCGTAGTCCCGTCCGAGACGAATTTAGGTGTGTAGTTTTTTATACATAATATACTTACTTTCGACAACTGCCATGCGTGCTCTTGATATACCCAAAGAGTAGTTTTTCATATCCGTCAATAGTGATTATCTAATGTACCATCTGATTATTGAGCTATGGCCGAATTCATAAAAATCCCACCACTGGCTTAGGGGTACCTATATAAGGTACGCACACAACAGGCACTATATATTATATTGTTATTGCTTCCGAATATGTATATTATAATATGTATTTTGTTTTTTATATCCTTTCTCAACAGATGTTTTTGTTTTTTTCGTTTACCATTATAATGTCATTGGTTGTGTTATATTTTACCGGCGTGGAATTTCCAAATAAATTATAAAAACATTTAACCTTTCAGCAGGTAAATCAATTTTCTTCTAGTTAACCTCGACGATGATTATCATTGTCGTCGGTTTACCCTTTCGACAGATTCGTAACCAAAAAAAAAAACTATCGACACACACCATGGGCAATTTACACTAACAAGTACACATAATACCTATATGCATAATTAATATTATAGTTTCATATATTTTCGTAGCTCGCAACCGCGACCGAAAACATAAGGAAATTATATATTTTATTATTCGGATAGTAATATAGATGATGTCATCATGATGATGTAATTACATTATTCGATCTCCTTAAACTAGACAGCTGCAATGTAGTTGTCTCTCGGTGTGAGTGATGTTCCTACTGTTAGCTGTGAGAACCATAAAACACCATCCGAAAGGCGAAAACGTTTTGTGCGCTGACATAAAATCTTTGTTTTTTTTCCAATAATACACGTCCGTAGAAAATCTTCGTAAAACGGTTTCGGCTTCGACGCATGCACTACAACTAATAACTTTAAATTGCCTTTCTTGAAAAAAATGTCACATACCTAATGCTCCACGTTTGTCGAGCTTGTATTTTATACAAATTATAATGATATTATATTAACGGTGTGTCGGTGTATAGCCTTACTAGTTATTTTAGTTATACAATATCATAAGTATTATGAGTTATGAACAAAAATAAAAAAAATAATCAATGTTAATTAGTAAATTTTTCTTTATTAATATAAAACAATGAAATTCTTTTTTATTTTTAATGCTTTTTTCTGAAACGACCACAGCATCGACCGGACGTTCGAACAAACCGTCGAGGAGAAACGCTGGTGTGAAATGTCCATTTCCGCGGTTTTTACTGACATACTGCACACCGAAGTGGACGAGAGGATCTTCTGAGGTGAAATACAACTATACAACTATACATCCGGCCGACTGCGGTTCAGTGCTCTGGACGGAGCAAGAGGATGTGCGGGAGCTCGACGGCGAAGAATACGGCATGCAGCGGCGGTGGCAGCAACCGAAAGGATCAGGCAGCAGCAGGTGGACGAGTTTGGAAATCAGCCTTTGCCTGCAAAGGACCACGATCACGGAAACGCTGCCCACGTCGGTGCAACCGGCTCGTGTTCGTTCTGCAGCGGCAAGGCGTTCGGCCGGGTGGTTCGGACTGTAGACAGCTATTGCAGGCTGCTGATCGAGGTGCTCGTCGGACCCGGAGATGGCGACAGGAGGAATTTTGCTAAGTGACGGTGAAACTGAAGATCGGGGGGTAAGGAGCGTGACGGTGTTGGCAGTCCAGAGAAGCGCGACATAAGGCTTCAAGAGTTCCGGCGAGCATACTTAGTGGAAACTCGCCGGTTAATCAATCGTATATGCTGAAATATTACAATTTCACTGAAAATTAAAAAAATTGGTCTATAATAAGTTGTAACGCTATTAGTTCAGAAATACTGTATACTTATAACTTACGTATGTTGCGTGTTGTGATTTTGTTTGGTACTGTTTAATTCGGGGTTACTGAGGTGAGGCTGATTTGTCGTGGCCGGCTTTTGGCCGGCCTGGTTCCGGCGAGCATATTAATTAGTGGAAACTCGCCGGTTAACCCGTATATTATGCTGAAATTATAATTTTACACAAATTTAAACAAATTTTTCACGATTTTTCGACATTATCATAATATTATGGTCTATAATAAGTTGTAACACTATATTAGTTCAAAAATACTGTATACTTATATAACTTACGTATGTTATGTGGTCGTTATATTTGGTAATGTTTGAGGTAAAGGTTCATCTGTCACGGTCGGCTTTTGGCCGGCCTGGTTGTAATGTAAGTAATTTGTCATGCAGTCGAATCCTTTTAATATTTCTTAAAAATATTTCTTGTCGCGCTTCTCGTGGAACTGCCTTTCGCTCCTTACCCCCCTCAGTTTCACCGTCACTTCTCGTCAGTTCCTCCTTCGACCATCTCCGGTTCCAACACCAACTCTGGTATATACATATAGGCACCTCGATCTCCGCAGCCTGCCTTTCTCGTCCGGTTCGCCCTGCCGATTTCCCATAACGCCACTGCACAACGAATCCCGTCGCCGGGTGGGCCGGTTTCCCGGACGCGGGCAGCATTTCCGTTACATATGCTTTCGGTGGTCCTTCGGCGGCGGCTAATTTCCAAACTTGTCCTGCTCCTCCCTATCCTTTTTCCGCGTTTGCGGCTGCTGCGTGTGTCGCCGCTGCATGCCATATCTTATATTTTTCTCCGCCATCGAGCCATTATCTTGCTCCGCCGTCTGATTCGCTTTCGGCCGCATATGTTGTAGTGCACCGCCCCAAGCCGTCGTCCAGACCCAACGAGAACGTGACCGGGTCACCGCAAAGGCCGACCACGTCCTCCGGCATCCCGGTCCGACAGCTCGCCCGATGGTCCTCTCGTCGTCCTCAGTTCTGCAGTATGTCTCGTTATAGGCGCCACTTCAGTTGGGCGCCTCTCCATAATTCCGCGGAATGGACATTATAAGCAGCGTTTCTTCTTAAGTTTGTCCGGTCTTTCTTTGGTCGTGTAAATAAGTGATTTTAAAAACTATTGTTTAAATAAATAAATCTCGTTACTACGGTCCAAGATAATATTATTTATAATACTATGCCATTGTTTAATATAATATTATTTCGTATTTAGTAGTTATTAATTCAATTATAGCCAGATGCATATTATATTAGCTGTGTATTTATACGATATTAATGTTATACCTACCTTATAATAGGTATACCTATTAATTATTATGTGCCGATAATGCATTTCACCTTTTCCATAATCGTTAATGGCCGATTAATAGGTCGTATCCAGAGATGTAAGCTTGAACATTTTTTTTTTCATTGAAATTTTCTGAATGTTTTCAACATTCTTTGTAAATTTGTTTTCAATTGTAGTTTTCTTAATACAATTAATTGTTGAGGTTGTACGATTGGTATGATAATTATTTTCTTAGGAATTAAACGACTCTGAATATTATTATAATATTATTTTATATTATTTATAGTTATGTATAGTGCAATCAGAATTTGTGTGTGTTCTTATTTGTATTAAAATTTTTTCCGGTAATTTTTTTTGCCCTTTAGCTTTATTTCTGTGGTCTTTTTTTCCGTGATATATTTATTTTTTTTGCGTCTCCGTAAAGGACATAGGTATATAATGCAAACTTGACTAAAAAATGTACGCAAAAAAATTTAATTTACTAGGGAGGAATTGAATGTTGGTTTATTCTTGACTAATAGGTATATAATACATAATAACATAATATAAGAATGAAATGTAATTACGTTTGTAATATGGTTTTTTTCATTTTTTTTAATGTAACTTAATGTAACTTTTTTTATGTAATTTGAAGTTTTTAATTATTTTTTTTTAATGTAACATGTAAAACAGCTAAATTATTTAATGGAACTAAAATTGACGAATTCTGAAATCTGATTAAATATATGTATGTATAATGTATATGTAATTTTAAAATTTTATTTTTTTCGTAATTTATAAAAAAAAAATACCTTTATAACATATAAATAATATATTATTATCTAATTCTGGAATCTAATTAATATGTGCAGAATTTGTAATTATTAAAAAATTATTTTTAAACTGCTATTGTAACAATATACCAGGAGCCTTGTATTATATTTTCACTCTTTTTTAACCAACAAATTAAATGTTATTGGTATTTATAGAATAAAAAACTAAACAAATTAAAAACTAACAATTTCCGTAGACAGCTCAAAAAGAGTCAAAATATTTTCAACATTTTATAGTGTATAGAAAATGAAAATATTATAAATATTCAGTGGAATTTTCATGTAAATACTCTTATTCGTTTTTGAATTACAACAAAATAACAAAATCTCTACATAATGTGAGAAATCCAGTGAATATCCAATCTTTTAAAAATATGAACTTCAAACGCTCTTAAAAATATAATTTGGTTTTCTTGTATAGATTTTTTTTTCTATAAAATTAGAGAAACTTATGAAGAATTTTTTATTACATTTTCAAATCTTAGATTTATATATAAACATTTTTATGAATTTCTAACTCAATATAATTTGCACATTTTCGAGAATTTTATGTATTTTGTCAATAATTGAACTAAAATGCTTATAAAAAAAAAAAATTGCCACTGGATTTTTAATATTTTTCATCTGTCTTCGAAACAATATATTAAAGTAGCCTTCTATTACATTTTCAAGCTTTTTTACCCAACAAATAACGTTTTATTAACATTCATAGAAAAAAAAAAAATAAAATTGGAAACTGAAAATGTCTCAGTTCAAAACAATTGAAAATATTTTAAAAATGTTATGGTGTATAGACAATTAAATACAAACAACCTGCATATACGTTAATTTGTCTTAGAGTTAAACCAAACACCAAAATCGATTTTGTAGTAGACCCATTTTGCATCCAAAAATCCCTGTTTTTCTTAATTTGTATGTTGTTTTTCCCTGCGCTTATGAAAACTATTGGGAATTTTAAATTTTTACCTCCTGAATGCACCAACTAGATTCACTTTCCCATCAAACAAGATACTGTTGAAGAAAATCAAAGCAGTTTCACTGTCCCAAACAGTGATGACGGACACAAAAATTAAATACCGGCCAAGTGCGAGTCGGACTCACTCACGAAGGGTTCCGTACCATCATCCATAAACATGTTGGCAACACTGCTTATATTATATATTCTAAGATTTTTAGTATTTTTTGTTACAGTGGCAACAGAAATACAATATAATCTGTGAAAATTTCAACTTTCTAACTTTCATGGTTCATGAGTTACAACCTGGTGACAGACGGAAGGACGGACAGCGGAGCCTATTAGTAATAGTGCGTCCCGTTTTACCGTACGGGAACCCTAAATTTCACACATCATTTTAAAATCAATACATTCATCGCTCAGAATTCAAAACTTTTTATGCGCATTCTCATTATCCTTTATAAATTGAAAACATACGTAAAATACTATATGCAAAATAAATTGTTTTAAATGTTATTGTTAAAAGTACTATATTACTATAGTATATAACTAATAAACGTATTCAATATAGAACTTAAACGTGTTATTAATAATTCTTCTACGGACATTACCACCCAGACAGCAATTTTTTGTTCAATAATATCATTATAACATTATAATCACGAATAATATTAGTATAACGTTATTATAATACTATAATCAATCGAATAGTTTTGAGTAAATATTGTGATTTTTACGTCGTATTTCGTAGTCTCCTTGCTTAATTGGATTAGTGTGTTTATTTTTTTTTATTGGATTTTAATACAATATTTTTTGTTTACTTTTCTACCTAATTTACATATTTAGTAATTATCATTGGGTCACATTGGGTCAATGTATAATGGATTGTATTACTTGAACTCAATGATATAATATAATATCATTGTATAAGAAAAACAATTCTGAGCGAAGACGGTTTGTCAGTCTGGATATTTTATATTGTTATTATTTATTATAGTCTGTTAGTTGAATTAATAATGAAATACTTTTATTTTTTATTTTTTTCTATGGTGATAGACAAAGTGTTAGAAATTAAAATCCCATTTTTAGAGGTTTTTCGTAATTTTTTGGTGGTTTTTACAGTGGCATTAAATAACTATTGAGAAAATCAAAAAAGACCTCTCTAAGATAGTAATCTTGATCCAATTTTCTAAAAGATAAGTTACTATATGTCTATACATATTGAAATCGAAGCACTCCTTCTGGAAGAAATTTTGTATACAGGAAAAAAAAATAAACACCATTGTAGAACCAATAGATCCCTCAGAATCGAATATATAGTTATATGTTATAACTTTTATACAAATATTTCCTTAATTACATTAGGTAGGTACCTACTTCATTCA